TGAGCAGGGGGTGATGTCTCGGCTCCCGGCTGTCCTGACTTACGTGACCGTGAGCAAACACAGAACACACCCCTCGTCCTCCCTGAAGTGGAGGTGACAGTAATGACGCCCGGGTCACAGGTTGTTTGAAGGCTTCAAGGGAAACCAGGCAAGAGGGGAGGCCATGACCTCCCTACAGCAGCATTCCTTGAATCTGATCAGCATCCCCTGGGAACTTGTTTAAAATGCATCTTCCTGGCCCCAACCCAAGGATCAGAACGTGGGAGCCTCTAAGCTCCTCCTTGGCCCAGATGCGCACACAGCTGGCCAAGTCGCTCTGCTCACGGCGGAGGGTAGGGGCTCTCTGGTTCAGCTCTCCATACCAGCGCCAGACAGGATGCCCAGCTCCGGGTCCCTCCGTGCCCTGCGGCGTCCTACCCAGCTTCGATGCTGAGGACCACCTCCCACTCCTCACTGTACAGCCAGCAGGCTCTTGGCTTCTTTTAGTTGTTATTTTTGCCATAGGACGTGTGCATTCACTGAAGAGAGAGAGAGAGAAGGAAAGTGAGAAATCAACCCCCAAGGGTGATGGCCACACCACAATCCCTTCTCCATTTTCCTCTTGGGTTTTTGAGCACACATACATGTGTACCTAGAATGTTTTTCAAGCCACTGGGTCTGTGACTCAAACCACAGAACTGACCCTGCGGGATCCAAGGCCTTAACCACCACACCACCTACTGGCCTGCTCTTGGCTTCTTAAGCGCTGCTTCAGTCAGTCACAAGGGCTTGGGCAGGGCGGACCCTAGCCTGCGAGTGACTGCCTGCAGGGCACCCCCAGGTCGCAAGCTCACAAGCCCGTGAGGTTCTCCATCTCTGACCCAGGCTGGCACTGCAGCTCCACGAGTCCTCAAGCACTGCCCAAGACTGTCCTGCCGCCTGGTACACGGGGGCTGAGCAGCCCACGGGGAGCCCAGGGAAGCACAGAGTTCAGGTACCAGTGACCTCTCGGCGCAGGCATTC